GAGTCAAATTAGGAAAATAAATTTGGGACGATTCAAAATAGGAACTATTTTTCCAAATGGAGGGAGTATGTATTTGTTGATATGTTAATCATTTGACTTTGTATAGAAACTATTCCATCTAACCCCAAAACCATCAAATGAAATTTTTGTTTTTTTGGCAATTGAGTCTTTCACATTGCTTTAAATGTATCCCCCATTTAGCTGTTTAGATTAAAATTGCATCTTCCCAAATATTTCTTCCTTCCCGGAGAATTTGTTTGGTTTTAATTTGGAATAAAAATAAATGTGAGGAATTAACATAGTGAAACAACTACTCCCTCCGTCCCTGAAAATTTTTCTCCTTTCTTTTTTCATCCGTCCCAAAAAACACTTCTTATTTTTATTAAAAAGTCACTTTTACCCCTTACTTTTTCATACCCTACCTATCACATCATACCTTTTTACTAATAATCTATCCATCAAATCCCACTTTAGGACATTTTTGGAAATTCAATACCAAAATACACTTCCCTTAAATCTCTTCAAAAACCAAAATATCTCATGTTTCACGGGACGGATGGAGTATAAGTTAAAGAAAAACCCCTCGAAGTGCCATAAAACAATATAAGAAAGAATTTGAGAAATCATAGGAGCCAAAGGGGTTGTGTCACAACATTAGGAGCTGAAAGAACCTCACAAGGACACCGTTCTTTATCCAGTTGGACTTTTTGAGTGAAACTGGACAAACTTTGAGCTTCAATTACTCTCAAATTTGTATTGCACATTCGTACAATCAGACACATGGCATACATACATACCCACACACACACCACACCAAGCGTTTTAATTGCGGTTAAGACACATGGCATGCCAAGTAGGAATTATTATGCCGACTCATAAAAAAACGACGAAATAAAGAAGATGAAAGGGGAAGTGCCAGCTCTGCTATGCTACACTGCTCGTGCTACTCACACCCCTCCGTCTTCGTATTCTCAAAGGAAGGAAGAGGGGGGATTCGCACGTCATCATGAAGATGGTCTATGGATCTTAAAATTTGGGACTACTAAAGAGAGCTGCAACGCTAAGTGTGGATTTACTAAAGTAAGCCAAGACACTGATTTTGTAGTCAGACGTCCCATGCAGGTAAGAGAATCACCATTAGAGGGCTTCGCATCTTTCATCAACTTTGCATCTCTATAAACTAATTAATTTGCAGCGGTATAGCTTTCTAGATGCCTACATGAATTCAATGGATGAGACTTAAGATTGAGAGTTGAAACACCAGTTAAGCTACTTAATCCTGCCAAGCCTTTGTGAGTGACACATTTGAGATAGCAAAAAATGGTTTAATTTCTGTGAATGATCTTATTAGTGGTGTAAAACACTAGAACAAGAAAATGGTAAACGAAAGCATCTCCTAGAAAAATTGGAGTGTTTTCAAATAGCGTGAGAAAAAAGAAAAATAAGCCTAGATGCCTTTTTATTTGCAAATCATTGTTTAGCAAGTTTATACTTTTAAATTTAACATGCTCTCCTTTGTCATATAATACTAATCTTTTTACTGGTCAGTCAAGTTCTACAACCAAGCTTTAATCTTGAACTGCCTACTTTTTTACATCATGTTGTTGTTATGTCATGTACCAGATGTTCATTGAGCTTCAATGACTTAATGCCTCAATTGGTTTTTTACCTTCTATTCATGTCAACATTAACTACAACATTGGTAGTTTCTTAGCTTAAGCACTTTCTTAGCATGTATTCCTTGGATGGAAATAGCAATAGCCACCAGGCTCAGTTCAAGATGTCTAAAACAAATTTCAGCTTCACTGTAATATAAGCTTTCTTGCAACTCATAACCACTCATTTAATGCACTCCCATTATTGACTTCTATTGATTGTAGAACTGAACCTGCTTTTCTTTTATTTGTTACAATAGGAGAAGGTAGAGGAGTGCTTGGATTTTGTTGATGTCTTCGTGCTTACAAGGCATGCCAAATGGTCCTTGACCTTTATTCTAGACATTATTGCATTGCTTATGAGCCACTTCAATATTATAAGAAACATTTCTTATGAATTTTAAACGCTCTATATCCCCCCCCCCCTCTTAGTCATGTATCATATCCTAAATTATATTCACATGTGTTTTCATTTTCCTTTCTTGGGAGGTGTTGAACAAATAGGATTATATACAAATTCAATTACAATAAATTGTAAACAAAAACCATAAAAATCTTGGCTAAAATCCTTATCGGGCACTTTAACTCGCGCAATGCACGTGAATTTGCTAGTGTGTGTGTGTGTGTGTGTGTATATATATATATATAGGGGTTGGTTCAGGTGAGAATGCTCCTTGGTGAAAGAAATGAGAATGAATAGAAGACGTTGGATCGGTTGTAATTAGGGGCTAAGATGCATTTTCAAAGTTTTGCCATAATTAGGAAATTAATAACTAGAGTAAATCTAAAACTGGAGATATTATCTCGTGGGGGTAAATCTGGAACAAAAAATGCCTTAATACAGGTAAAATCTCTAGGGATAAATATTACCGAGTATCTTACCATTTGCTTAAAATAAAACTCTTGAGTGCACATTAATTACTTCCACTTTTTTAGCTTTTATTGTTGTCATATTAATTAAGGGGTATTTCTTTTTCTTTTTGAAACGTGCGCTTCATGATTCATGGGTAGTCATATTCATTGTTTCTTATTTTTTAATTTATGAACCACTTTTTTCTATAAAAATCAATAATAAATATTTTTATCAGTTAAACACTTTAAAATAATTTATTTCTTTTTTACTTTATTTTAATGCATTTTTAAGGATGCAAAGGATATATTTTATTTGCAATTTGAAAGAAAAAATGTACTCCCTCCGTCCCAAAAAGTCTTTCCTGTTTCATTTTTTGCGCATCCCATAAAACACTTCTATCCCGCCTTGAATGCCAAAAAAACTTTCAAAATAACTTCTACCCACAATAAAGAAGAAATGTCGTAAATTTTAGGCATTTTAGATGTCAGTAGAAGTGTTTTATGGGATGCGCAAAAAATGAAACAAGAAAAACTTTTTGGGACAGAGGGAGTATGATTTATAAATGTTCTCTTTCTTCTAAAAACTACTCGGTATTCAATTACCCTTTTTTACTTCTCACTTATTTAGTATTTTTTAATAAATACATTTTTTCCACACATAATAGTTTTTTCTGTATGCACCATTCTTATATATAGCTGCAATTTGTATTATAAATTATGCATGCACTGTGATGGTTCTTATGTCCGCTTTGATTTGTCCTTTGAATTTTATTAAAAATTTATTGTATTAATTTGGGATCGGTGAATAATTATTCATGAGTGACTTTGTATGTGATGAGAAAACTTGAGAATGAATTGTATTCAGAACAAGTTTAATACAGATTTGGAAATAGTTTGTCTATGTGGGATTCGAACTCACATCTGTAATACATATCGCTCTACCGTTTGAGCTAATAGGCAATAATTCTTTT